CAATTTATCTAATAACATTTCGAGGATAATAATTAAAGGTAATAATATATTATGTTTGCTAAAGTTGATAGCTTCGATCGTTTGGCTGAATTCTCTATTGGCTTTATTTGGAAGAGCAGAAAGGGTGGTGAGGTGTTCATTTAGAGAAATTTCAAATATGAGTTTGTGAATCTAATCATCAGTATTGTCCATGAAATCATTGAGTTTTTCGACGTTTTCGTTCATTGTAATCTCTTGGTTTTTCAATGAGTTTAATGAGCTATTAAAATTTTTAATTGTGCTAGAAATTATCTGTACTTGAGCTTTGAGATGAGTTTGTGTTTGAGTATCATCATTTAGAAGAGCGTTTATGCTGTCTGTATAACATTTTGCGTCATCGGCGTCTGGTGTACCGAATAACCAGTTCAGGGCATATGATACACGATTGATTAATCCCCGTCGATCTCTTAAGGGTTTAGTTTTGATCATTTGCTTAAGGATTTCGTGTTCTAGGTTCACATTGCTTATCTCATTTTCAATTATTATTAAAGTTTTATCACAATGATAAAAAAGAGGAGTATGTTCAACTGGTTTGCTAGTGATTTTATTACAAATGTTTTTGGATTTGTCGAAATTATTCAGTAGGACAGTTCTAAAGTTAGTTAGATGAGTAAAATTGAGGTGAGTTAGTAATGTTAATTTTGAGCTCGAGAGTCTAGCAGTTTCTTTCATGTTGAAGAATATACCACTAGATTGAGTTAGAGGTTCATTTTTATAAAATTGATCTGTTAGAGGAATTAGGGGTAGAAGGAATTGCAAGATTGTAAGATTCATTAGATCCATCTGAATAATAGTGTTTGAGAATATTAGTGTGGTATCTAATTATTTTCTTTCCTACTTGAATATCAACAGTTTTGTTTGGATATACTTTAATAATTTTAAAAGGTCCTTTAAAGTTGCTAGATAATTTTTTTGAAAGTCCTACTTTTGTTTGGTTTTAGTAAATACATACGAAGTCATTTTCTTTGAAGGTTTTGGGATTTGTATGCTGATCATGATTCAGTTTACTTTTTTCTTTGGAAGATATTATATTATCTCGGACTATCTTAAATGATGAGTTTAATTTATATTGTAATGATCTAACGTAATCATCATAGGTATAGTGAAACTTGGGATCTTAAGTGATTGAAGATGGTAGATAGGCTTTATGACCAAAAAGTAATTCGTAGGGAGAGAAATTAGTAGACTTGTGTATTGATGTATTGTAACTAAACATCGCGAATGGAAGATATTCATCCCAATTACTTTGATCCTTTTTGATATAATGTTTGAGATAATCCTTTAGTGTTAAGTGTGATCGTTCCAATGCGCCGTTAGTTTGAGGATGGTAGGGAGTAGTGGTAAGATGTTTAGTCTTAAATATATTACTAAGTTCTTTAATTAATTTAGATGTGAAGTCAGTGCCTTGATCAATCAAATTTATTTCCAGCTTCTGTAAGTTGTAGAGGTCTGACTACATCAATAGTTAATCTATCGAAAGGTTTTTCGGAAGTGGTCGTGATTTCCATTGGTTGTTTTATAGGTTTGAAGTTAACTTTGTTAATCTGACACGAGTGACAAGATTTTATATGTTTTCTAATATCTGACTTCATGTGAGACGAAAAATATCTTTCTTTGATCTTTGCGTAAGTCTTATTAAAACCACAATGTCCAGATAACTTGCTATCGTGATTTTCTATTAGAATTTGTTTGATTTCATCTCGCGTTTTGGGTGTAATTTTAGTTGTATTGAGGACCTTGATTTGGTTGTTTGGAAATGTGAACTTCAGCATTTCATTGAATAGTGCTCTTTTGATATTTGGCTGGTTAGTTGGAGGGACAAAAATGAAGGATGATTTTTTGATTAAGGTTTTTAATTTTTTGAAATGATTAACAGTTTTTAAGTTATGGATTTTTGGATTTTTGAAAAAAAAAAAAAACTTATATCCACAAAATTCGTAAGTATTGAATTCGTTGTACAAGAGCAAGAAGATGAATACATTGATTACATTAATCACATCTCGTGAGGCCTCACAGGTTGATCAAAAAATGACGTCAAGTATTGTTGTTGGACCTATAAATGATCTTACGTATTCTATGTTCAATTAAGTTACTGTCTATTTCAACCAGAAATGTGTATCAGCATTTAATAACTTATATGCTTCTAAAGCATACATAAAAACACTTTTAAATTATGGTCGCGAATTAAAAAATTCGCATCTCAGCACTGTTAGCTGGTCTCAAGACATATCTGGTAAAATAGATAGTGTTAAAGGTGAAAATGAGAACTTGAAAAAACGGTGTCAATATTTATCATATGGAAGAAATTTTGATTCACTTGGCGATCTACATTGTGATGTATTTAATCAAGAGCATTTTTTAGTAAACAGTGTTGAAACATGGCTACGTTCAACAAAATCTCAAGATTCATTTTGTTTAATGAATGCCTCAGCTGTTGGATGCAAAGTTGAAATAATTGGAGCCTCTTCGATAATGAGACGTGTAAAGATATCCCCGAGTACTTTGCTTTCCCATTACGTGTCGTCCAATTCCTTCGAAACCTCTCCAACCAGATTATACTAAGATTTCTCTGTATATTCATTGTAATTACATGTAGTTCTCAGGAACAGGCATACATTTTCGTAATGAAGGGAACGGCATTAATCGCACCAACAATTTCAATAGCTACTGCTTTTTTGCTTTTGATTTGACACCCGATCTTTCTGCAAATAGCACTACGCATTGGAATTTAATCCGACATAGCAGTGTACCTCTAGAAGTATGCTTCGAGGACGCCTTAGCTTCAACTATTAATTGTATTGTTTATGCTAAAAATATACTTGAAATTGATTCACCGCTGTGAATTATTGTGGATCTTTCGAACTTAGTATATTTTTAATAATGTAGAGCCATATTGTTCACGAAGAGCTCAGTATCAAGCTAGCCGCCTGTCGTGTAACATGTTTCAAGTAGTAAGCATTTTTTTTTCTCAAGATGAAGTTTGTAATCGTATGTACAGGAATTTTTTAATAACAACGCTGTTTTTGTACTAAAAGAAAGTGCCCTGATTGCTTTAGGAGCTAATATTATTGGCCATTAGATGATTGCTCCTGAATTTGCTTATTCATTATTATCAGAATCAAAACAACAAGCAAATATTTTATTGACATCACAACATGGTATGATGGCTTATTATCAATCAAAGCTGTATACAATAATTTAAGGGCTAGTATACCGAATACTAAGCAGATTTATTACAAGAGACTTCATGTTAAAACACCTATCAGAAAAAATTGTGTTTAAAAAAATTATAAATATCGACGACATCCTTGATAAACCATCGTTAACTGTCCCGTCAACCGTAGAGATCGTATGTTCATTTCACTTTGCTTAGATGATACAACAATTGGCTACAAAAAAATTTACCAATGCGCCTCAAATCTTCAGCCACTTTAACAGTCAAGCAAAATTTAATATATAATAACTGCATGTAATGAATACGCTGCAAATTATAGAAGCTCTTCAGTACATCGCGGCTCATTCAATAGACGTATATCCAGCAGACAAGATTCCGAAGGTGTGGACAAAACCGACAGCATTTGTAGTTAATACCGATAGGCCCAAACAACCAGGGCAACATTGGGTTGCCATGGACGTCAATCGAGATCACATCGGCTACTACTTCGACAGCTATGGACTGCTACCAATTATTCCAGAACACCTTAGGAGACTTCGAAATAATTGTTGATACTTCCGCCACTCCGTCAAACATCTACAACAGAAAGATTTACAAGTGTGCGGCCAATATTGTATCATGTTTTTGCGTGCTATGTCTATTAATTATCCACTTAGTAACTTTTTATCTTGCTTCAATAGAGAATATTCCGGAACCGATGAAATTGCAGCTGAATATTATGAGACCTTAATGAAAAAAAACGCTTGGAATATAATTGTCATACATTTATGGGTAAAGGGCTTAAATTCAATGAAGTATGTTTGAGTAAGAGTAAAATTGGATTTTGATAGGAATAATAACTTTATAAAGCCGTATTTAACTATTTTCGTTAAAGATTCTTTAAATACCTTATGTTATATATACTTAAAAATAATCAGAAATGGTTGATTACGTTCGATCGAGAAAATTATTTGCTACAAGCACATGTATATGTAGCAGCCATCATGCCCCGTTGCTAAGCGATGGCGTCAAACATTATTATGTAATACATGATAGACATATATTTGATGCCCGTAGCATTAAATATATGTTCATCTTTTATCTATGTCTTCATGTTTTGCTGTGTTGTTGTGCACTCACTTGCACAATTTACATCTTAAGCGCAACGCCTGTAGCTAAGAAAAAGTTGGGCATACATATCAGTGCATAGTGGCCGAAAATATGGCGATGCATTCGGGCTCAGCCAGTGTGAATCGGACTTCATGCCCCGGCTCTTCTACTTTTACCCTCGAGCGTGGTAGTACAGCCGTTGAGAGTCATGTCGCCACGGCCAACCGTTAGGTGTCACCTCAATGCCCTTAAGTCAAACCACGCCAAGCCTGACACTGCACGCATGTGCCAATAGTAAATATTGAAAAATTTTGTGTCTGGAGGTGAATCACATGAAAATCTTTGAATAATTAAAAGGTATGTATTAATTAGCAAATAAAATTTGAATTATTATATTATAAATACTTGATACCCTACCTATGATGTACCCTTGCTTCCTGTGAAACTGCTTGGGCTGACACAAATTCATCTCTACTTTGTAGTGGGGATGGGAGTGTCGTCCACCGAACTGGCAGCATTCTACTTAGAGTGCTTCAGAACCTTTCTTCTTTATTTCTACTTGCCAGAGTTAGGCTGTGATTTAGCAGCTCGTATGCAGAACGTGGTCATCTTTTTTTTCCTTTGAATTTTAAGACGCCTGTAACGAATGACTGAATGGCTGCAAACGTAATTCACCCTTAAACCTGAGGGAGCCGCGTGTTTGCAGGACAGTCTCGTCTGGTAAAGTCCCAGGTGGGTCGGAGCCCTAGGATTCCTGAGCAGATATGTTTTGTAGTTTTTTATGTAAATAGGTTTTTGGTTTACTAGGTTGTTTTTAATGACGGCAAAACTCAGTATAAATTTTCGACCACATGGCAAAATGTTTGTTCATGAAAAAATAGCTTTTCTTGTATTGAATATCTAAAAAGAAAACGCATCAGAGATCAAGAGATGAACCAATAAAAGCAGTCTTAAGTCTCTACAATTAATGGTTCTAAAGATATTAAATTGTTTATGTCGAAAATACTGTTATTTTTTAAACAATTTATCTTAGCTCATCAACAAATTAAATTTTTGGAGTTATTTTTAATTTCTAATCGATTGCTACATTTATGTTGAATGTGCAAACTAACGAAATATTGATTAATTGCCATTACTTTTTGAAATTTGAAAAAAAAAAATTGTAAATTTGATAGAATTTGTCATAATGCCTGTTTTTTTTCGAGTTCATTTGTTGCTGAGCTACGATCAATACTGAACATTTATAACACGAGAAAGGAAAGGAATAAAAAAAAGATCCCATTTTTGAACTCCTGTACTTATTACTGGACATGTATTCATGCATCGAGTATATATTTACATAATTTTTTGATGCACATTAAAAAAAATTTTTTTTTGTTTTTATATACTCTTTATGATGTTGCGTGAGTTCAGTAAATTATCCGTAGAAAATAAAACTTATTTTTGTAGTTGGACGGTAATTTATGTAAGACTGGAATAATTTTTATTGAGTCAATAACCAAATAGTTATGCAACTCATCACTGTTTCTGATTGATTTTAGATAATCACAAACACGCTCATATAACATGTCTATGGACACTAGTCGTCTATAGTCACGACTAACATAATTACCATACTTCGAGTATAGAATACTATGTGGTCGTGCTAGAATGAAGTTTGAACTACTGTTGATTTCTGCAGTTCTTCCTAGAGAATCAAAATATCTTACCACTCTACAATTTTCGATTTTTCTAGGTTCGAATGATATGGTGTTTCTTGAAATCTGGTTTATTTTATATTTTTTCAATAAAATATTTGGACTCATTACAAAATCAGAATTAATTTGTGTCTGGCTTTTTTTATGCCGCTTGAGATCATTAAATGTGGAAAATACTGCTTCAATTTGATAAATCCATTTATTATAGAAAAGACATTTAGAGACATTTTTTATAATACGAGTATTATTTTTTATGTATATGTCGTTACTTAACAGATACAGTGGCTGGAATACCGATAATAAAATAAACAATTGTTGGCCTAATAATGAAATGCTCTTGCTTGCATTTACGTAATTGTTAAAACTTTGTTGAAGATTACATATGTAATTCTTTTTTCCGATTTCAGTATGTTCTTGCAATACATTTGTAAACATTTTTATGTGCTCCAACGATCCTTTTGCACCAGATTTTATAACATCGAGAAGTATACCTGTGCCATTTATCATTTCATTCACAGTTGTCAATGATAAACAAATTCGAGCTCCAAAATTTTGTAATACATTGATGAACACATCGATGTCATCTCTCCAAATTGTACAACCCAATTGCATCAAAACTTTAGCTCTTTCTGAAACATTCTGATATGTGAATGAGAGGGATTTCCATAACATTGATTTATCTTGAAAGTAATTATCGTACAACTGCAATAACAGCATATGATACTGGCCAAATGAATATTTACTCTGATTGCAAACGTTTCGGCGTCTTCCGTACTTCCACGAAAGCCGTAGAAGCTCAGATGTTGCTCGCAACATTAAAAAACTTGGAATTTCTTTGTCTCGTTTTAAGTAGTATACATTCAAGTCATCGCCATCTTGATCTGCATGTAATCCTTCAAGTACATACGGATTTACATGTATTGTATTGTCGTTGAGATTCCGATAACTCAATAATTCACATGCATAAATTGCACAGTCATTAATAGATGGATCGCGATTAATGATTACATAGGGTGTAGCTAAATCTAAACAATCGAACATATGTCGTGGAATGCTTACATCATTTGGTCCCAGATTGTTATCAATTGTTAATGTCATTCTTAGACCCAAAGCATTCACTCCTAATATTCTTACTCTCATATAACTGAGTTTGCCAGATTTCTGTTGCATTAAAGAACCTCCTTTAAATTTATCGTTTATAAACTGATAGTATTTCAAATGCTCCATATCAATGATATGTTTAGGTATTCGAAAAAGTGGAGCTTGGCGATAAATGAGGCGTTTAGGATATTGTAGATTATGAGGTACAGTTGTATCATTAAGTTCGTTTATATGAACTTTATAGATAAACCAAATAATTGATTGAAAGTAAGAATAATTTTTTTTCGTGAATAAACTAGGTTGAGGCATACAATAAAATCGTTTTGATGTTTTTAAAATGAACGTACGAGGATATTGCATGAAAGGAGTGCAATATCTACATGAGCGATAAACTTTAATATGACACATTAAGCACAAAAAAAAAGAAGCTGATTTATTCTTTTCTAAAATTTCGATAAATTTAGAAAAATCAATAGTTAATGTATTATATGTCGTAACCGAGTTAACTTTATATTTGATTGTAAGAAAATGTGGTTTAGCGATTTTATTTAACAACTGTTCGCGTAAATTCCACATCTTTCATTACCAAACGAGATTTGTCGAAAGTATGTTAAAATCAAAGGGAAAAGAAATGTAATATGATCTCTTTCAACATTATAATCTCTATTTATCTAAGTCATTACTCATATTAAATGACAATATAACAAAAGGAGAGAAAATGATATCATCTATCAAACATCATAATAGTTTATTTGTCGACATTCATATGATGATAAGATTCTCGTTACTGATAAGAAGATACTTCGATATAATTGAATTATAATAAGCAGTTCTTTAAAAATTATTAAAAAATTTAATAATACTTTGAGAGCACTCACTTCTGTTCTGCAAGAAACTACATTAAAATAGTATAAAAACTGTTTCACGCCAAAGTATGTAATTCATTGTTTCATTAATTTTATTTAAAGCCATGAGTCATTGTAATTATGTAAATTTATTTCCGAGTGTTTTAGGCAAAATAATAATCTTCATTCGTATTTTATGGCGTAGGATAGGTATTTATAAGTTCTTATTGATATGTATTGATTTATTAATTTATTAATTATAAGTGATGTAAACCAAGGCTGAGGAATTCATTTAGTAATTAAATTTAGTGGATGAAGTCTCAATAACCCAAGTAAATCTGTTAACTACATGGACTGTTGGAAGGAAAGTTGGGAGGCTGTAGTGGAGCAAAGGACGAAAAGCAACGTCTCACTCAAAAGAGAAGATGGAAGTATGGAAGAGGTCATTTTTGAGTTTAGATATTAAGTTTTGGAATTAGGATTTAGTTGGTGCACATTAGTTTCAAGTGACCTCTCCATATGAAAATCTGTGAGAAGTCACGTGAAGATAACGACTAATAGAAAATGTGATTCGACAAATTGAAGACGTTTTGGAGCAGAGGGGAAAGAAAATGAAGAGAAGAAAGAAATTGAAGAACGAGTTTATAAAAGATTTTGGAGAGTGGATTGCAGACTGAGCTCCTAGTTAGTCCATGGCAAGCTGTGCCCATGAAGGGCCAAGTATTACCATCTTTTTGGGAGAGAAGAGCAGAGAAGACTCCAGTAAGCAGAGTGAAGATCAGTAAGGATGTTTAATTCAAATTGAAAGACGTCCAAGACCACTAGGACTGAGTTGACGAAAGCTACAGTATCGAAAGCTCTCTGCAGAATTTGGGAGTTATCTAGAGTGGGCTTGTAATGGGTGAAAAGGTAAATTTGTAGTTGTTTAAAATGATTTTGTTGAATAGAAGAAAATACGTGAGGCTTGGTTTGCTCTCGTACTCGTTAGTTTAAGCTCAATTAGAAATTTTGATAAAGAAGATTTGATTTAGTTTAGTTGATTTGATTTAAAGGATTGTTTATTGTGGAAAACTAAAATATTGCGTTCGTGAGTTTAAAATTTTGAGTTGTGATTTTAGATTTTAGAAACAGAATAAATCTAAAAAATATTTAAAACAAATCACTTCTTATTTGGGGCAATGCACCACTTTTTTTAGATATTTCAATTTCAAGGGACGTCTGCATGATAGGAATTTTGCATGTTCATAAGCTCCCCGATTTTCTGTCTTCATGTGTTGTCTGATCATTGCGAATTTAGGACATCCGATCGATTCCAGATTGATGTTATTTTTAATTTTTTTAATCATGTTTCTTCAAAGTTTTCTCCCTTGTATGCAATTATCATTCCTAGTTCTTCAGCTGCAGTTGTAATTTTCAAAAAAAATTGGTCAAGTTTCGGCCTATGTTTAATATGTGAATTGCAATGACGATTATATGTTCATTACATGAATAATAACGAATAAATTAACAAGCGTTTCAATAATCAAGAAGTATGTGTAAAAGAAAAAATGTGTGACTATTATAAAAAGTTAAAAGAAATGATGGAAGAGGCTTATGTGCTTCTCTTATCATTAAGTGAACCACACAAGGATAAAGCTGAGAATAAATGGTTGGCGATTAGTAAAAAAAATGTTAGTACATTGAATCGACAATTGCAAAATAATTAATCAGTTGGTGAAAAACAAGTTCCATTTGTTGTTTATGCTGATTTTGAATGCATTTTTGAACGAGACCATGATAAGCAGAAACATATTTTATACAGTATTGCTTTCTACGTGCATTGTTCATTTGATGAGTCTCAATCTAGTTTTTATTTCAAACGTGGTGATGATTGTATTAATCAGTTTGTCTTAGAAGTTAAAAAAATTATCTGAACATGTGAAGAAAACCATTAAAGATGTTGTGCCAATGAAACCATTGACTTTACAGCAATAGAAGACTCATAATAAAGGTATAAATGTTACATCTGTAATTAAATTTTTTTGAATAATGAAACAAAAGTTCGTAACCATTATTATTTTATTGATTATTATCGTGGCCTTGCTCACAACAAATGTAATTTGAATTATCAGTGTTCCGACATTATTACAATAGTTCTTAACAATCGTTCGGGATACGATTCACACTATTTAATTGAAGAATTAGCTTCATTATCATCGTTTGAAGGAAGAGTTGATCTATTACCAATTAACAAGGAAAAATATATAGCTTTCACAAAGACTGTCGGTAAATAAGAATTTAATGAATACAATAGAAGCAGAACTCGTAACATTGCGGTCAAATTACGATTCATAGATTCCTTTAGATTCATGGCACGTAGCATTGAAAAATTAGCTCCATTTTTCCATGATGAAAATAAGAATATTAATAAACGATTCTATAATGATTCTGAACAGTTTAAATTAGTAGTGCGAGAGTAAGTTCTTCCCTATGAATATATTGATATTTGGAATAAACTTAATAAAACCCAGCTTCCTGCTCAATTATTGCTTCATCCTAAATTGAATGATACAAACAGCACAAATGACGATCATCAACATGCACTCGCTGTGTGAAATAAGTTTCACCTTAATAGTCTAGGTGATTATTTAGAATTATATTTGAAAACTGATGTTTAATTATTACCAGACATCTTTAAAAATTTTTGTAGAAATTGTTTAGATGCGTTATTCAAATCCTTCACATTACCTAACTGCACCTGGCCTAGCTTTTGATGCTATCCTCAAATATACAGACATAGAACTTGATGTTTGGCGAGATATTGAAATGCTTAATTTTATAGAGAGAGGAATAAGAGGAGGTGGTCACAAGGTTGCAATACATGTGGCAAAGCTAATAATCAATTTATGAGAGACGATTTCGATCTAAACATGTATGTACTGAGTGAATACTACCTAACTGAAAAATTTGATTTCGATAATATCAATCATTTGATTATAAATATTCTCAAAGATTCACTAATCGGTTATATTTTTAAGGTAGATTTAGATTATCTAAAATCATTGCATAAGCATCATAAAGATTTACCGCTATGCCCAGAGCATTTGAAACCACCTAATAGCAAAAGTACACAGCTAATGACAACATTACTCCCTAATGAGACAATGAATCCACCAAGCTAGCTGTTGCCACCTATACCTGATGTCTTACACCCCAGGAATTGCCCACTCACGAATTAAACTATTGAATTATAATTTTTTTTAATGCCCGTAATGCGCCAGAAAGTTTTATACTAGACTTCCACTGGTTAATAGTACGTGAAATAAGTCAAGTAATTAACTAGCCTGCAAGCGGGACCTCTAGTTTATTTATAATAATAGTATAGATAATTGGTAATTTAGTAAAATTAAATCGGGACATATCAACGCCACACCACATACGATTACAAGATTATTTGCCTTATTATAATTGAACAGTAACAATTGAATTAAGCGTTATACTTAAAAGGTACTCTAACGTACAAATCTTAGGGATTATTTATGTTGGTCGTTAAGACATTGTTTACAATTATTGAGTCTGCCGTACACGCGATAACAATGCGTGACTTTAGTCAACAACGGTTTCTCGAACCTTCGAGTCTCTTGTTGAGTTGTGAGTTTAAGGCGTTAGTCACTCGAGAACAAAGTAAGATATAAAGTTAATTACCAGAAGAGAAGGAGAAAGTCGAAATGATACAAAATCCTTGCGAGAATTAATAAGGTGTACAGCAGGCTCGCGCTTGTTGCCACGTATCCGCTTCGTTGAATTCTCCGAATGGACGACGATAGCTCCTGCCAGTCTTTCTGGTTCTTTCAAACATCTGTCTCGCTCTCGCCTGAGATTACCTGAAGATGTCTTAATTCACAAACTAAACTAGTCTTCTTGTAAGTGTTTCACCGACTTCGGTAACTTAATTGCGATAAGATACTCTTACTTTGATTGTTACATCTCGAGTGTGTCGCAACTTGTTCTTTTGCTGCTACACGATCTCTGTGTATCTCTACGAATCAATAATGTCGGGCAGTGGGGCCACGTTCCCTAATTGGGTCATCTGTTCGAGGGATGGCTTAATTCGACGGCACCCGATGTTAGTCGATTGCCCATTGCGAGCAGTGACAGGCTGAGCGCGAGATCGCTACAATCCTTGTCTCACTAAAAATGAGTATGCTAGACATTATAGAAACCTACAGTAGTGTGTTGAACTGCGTTCGAAAAATTCGTCGAGTTTTACAACTCAAGCAATCAGCTTGGTTAAAAAAAAAATATACTTAAGTACGAATATGAGAGAGCAGTCTAAAAATGAATTTTAAAAAAAATTTTACAAAGTAATGCTGTTCATGGAAAAACAATGGAAAATGTCCGTAATTACAAAGATATAAATTAATCACAAGATAGGAGGGAAGATGGGGGGCACAAACTCTAATATCACAAATAAAGCTTTCATAGCAGCATTATAGTTTATAAAGAATTGTCATTATGGAAAAGAAACAACTACAAAAACTGTTCAACAAGCTAATTTATGGAGAGTTTGCAACACATGATTTATCAAAAAATTTTATTTTTAATGACTATTATAATTATATTATAAAAACTTTTGAAAATAATGTTTAATTATTATATACAAACACAGATAGCTTAATCCATCATTTTACTAATGTAAACATAGATGATTATATCAAACGTGACATTCAAAAATATGACATTTCTGATTATCCTGAAAATAATATTCATAGAATTCTGTAAGTTAATAAAA